TTTCATGTATTACTGAATAATAATTGGAATAAGAGAAAATAACATAAGTTAGTCTTTAATGAATCAGTTTGGCAAAAAGGGTTAATTCACTAGTTATGAAGGTTTTAAGATTATTAACAGTAGGTTAATCGTGAACAAGTAGCTAAATTTAGCTAAGGTATGAATTTAAACTGAATTTCGTGAATTAGGCACTAAGGCACGATTTGAGTTCAAACAAGATTAGAAGAACGTTTAAGTTTAATAAACTTTTTAATAAGCATTAGTAATTATGGTTAAATCTAGTTTCAAATGGTTGTGAATAATTAATCTCAATATTTGTTTTATAACAATGCGAGTTTTAATCTAGCTATATTTGATTCTTTTGAATATTAGTTATCGAATTTTTATTTTATTTACAATTTTGAATTTTTGAGTAAAATTCCTTTTCATCAATATTTGTATTAATCTAGTAATTAGTATGCCATGCTTTCTTAAATAAATAAATAAATAAAAACTCGTAATTAATTAGGATTTTTTTTCTTTATTTTAGAGACTAATTTTAATAGAAAAATGTAGTCGCTTTAAGATTTGTCCATTTAAAATAAATGAGACGAGCCTCGCCTAGTAAAATATGTAGATTGCGGGGCCCTCACAAATGTATGCATTAATTATTTAGAACATCGGAGTTGGCCGTCTAGTGAAATTTTACGGCCTTTCCCAAAACAACAATACGCTAGTCGCTCTAGGCGCGTCTTTAACAAATTATTTTCTTAAATATGGGTGTGCATTTATGTAACCCAAATCCAAATCTCAACGGAGCCGAAATGTGTCGATAACCACGGGTGCATTGATTGCGACGTCGTTTGGAATACGTTTTCACAATGTTGTAATTCTCCGTAAAATAATAACAATAAATAAAAATAATAAGAGCGGCTAAAGGATAAAATTTGCACATAAGTTTATAATATGTATTATATCAGATAATCAAGCCGAATATAACAGTTGAGCGACCGTGCTAGAACCACGGAACTCGGGAATGCCTAACACCTTCTCCCGGGTTAACATAATTCCTTATCCGAATTTCTGGTTCGCGGACTGTAATACAGAGTCATTTTTTTCCTCGATACGGGATTAAATTGGTGACTTGGGACACCTTAAATCTCCCAAGTGGCGTCTCTGAATAAATAAATAAATCCCGTTTCGATTGTCCTTTAATTGGAAAAAACTCATTCTCCCCTCGCGGGGGCGGAAAAAGGAGGTGTGACAATGGAGGTACGCATTTCTGCAACAAACTGTTAAACAATGTCCTTGTAAAGTACGGGGTCAAGCATAAGGTCTCCACTGCCTATCACCCACAGACGAGTGGTCAAGTGGAGGTTTCAAACAGAGAAGTCAAGCAAATTCTTGAGAAAACAGTGAGTGCAAATAGAAAAGATCGGGCTAGGAAGTTAGATGACGCATTGAGGGCGTATCGAACAGCTTACAAAACTACCATAGGTGCTTCTCCTTATAGATTAGTGTATGGGAAGGCATGTCACTTGCCCATCGAACTTGAGCACAAGGCCTATTGGGCAATAAAGAAGCTGAACATGGATGGGGACTTAGTTGGAGAGAAGAGGTTGCTGCAACTCGATGAGCTCGAGGAGTTTCGATTACATGCATATGAGAATGCCAAATTGTATAAAGAGAAGACTAAGAGGTGGCATGGCAAGCACATTCAACATCGAGAGTTTGAGCCAGGGCAAGAAGTTCTGTTGTTCAATTCGAGGTTGAAGCTTTTTTCCGGAAAGCTTAAATCTCGTTGGTCGGGCCCTTTTGTTGTGGTAAGCGTGAAGCCTCATGGAGTCATGGAGTTGAGAGATATGAGTTCAACTGGCACTTTCTTGGTGAACGCTCAACGGATAAAACATTATTGGGGTGGTGACTTTGCACGTCACAAGACCTCAGTGAACTTGAAGGATGCTTGAGAACATGTTGAGTCGTGACGCGACGTTAAATCAGGCGCTGGATGGGAGGCAACCCATTGAAATGTTGTAACCGTCGTGCCACGACGTTAAATAAGGTTCTGGTTGGGAGGCAACCCAACGATAGTGGTAGTGTTTGATTTTGAGCTTTAACTTACTAACAAATGCAGGCAACGAAGGGCGGGTTAAAGGACCATCAACCAGGAGCAAAACAGGTGGAAAAAAATGCCAAAATGAACGCCCAAGAGCATGACCTCGCGCCCACTTCGCGCACAAGTTCGCACACCTGAGCGAACCATTCTGCCTGGAACAAAACAGCACCGCGCGAAGAAACGCGCGAACTCCAAAATTTCGCGCCAAAACTCGCGCGCCTGAGAGAACCATTCTGCCTGAAAACAAAAAAAGGACGCGCGAAGACTGCACGAGCTCGCACATTAGTTCGCGCACCTGACGGAACTCTTCCGGCGTTTTGTGTTTTTTTTTAGTTTTAGTTTTTCTTTTTATTTTTTTAGTTTAATTGGTTATTTTTTAGACACAATTACTCCCCTCCCCTTCTAACAAACAATACCCATTCCTCTCCCCCATTCTCACCCAAAAACACCCAACTCCTTCACCAAATTCCAGCACCCCTGCCCCCATCCCCCTCTCACGATTTTCTTCCCCAAACTCCCTAGCATCCTCCCCATTCTCCTTCACAAGGTATGAGCCCTAGTTGTAGTTTTCTTTCTTTTTCTCTTTCTATTTTCAGATTTTTTTTCTTTTTGTATGTTGTATCTTATGCCATTAGTGTAGATGTATTTGGTAATTTGGTGTCAAAACTTGGTGAAATATATTGTGGGGTTAGTTTGTTGCAAGTGTGGGGTGGATAGTACTTGATTTGGGTTATGTATGAGATTTGTGGGAGGCCCTTATTGCAAGACACTTAGAAAAGAGTTGTGAGAGCCTAATGCCCACAAGGTGTTTGTGGAAAGGCCTTAATGAGCATGATTATGTAGTTGTGACCAATTTTGCGTGTGAAGTCTGAGTAACCGTATTAAGTCATACTATTTTTGTTGGGCTGAGCTAATGTGTCCATGTTTTGCAGGTATTATGGCACCATCGAGAAAGCGCCAAGCCACGGGTCCATCCTCAAGCCGCCAAAGGGCGGCCCCTGCACGTCCCTATGACAGCAACAAATTTGTCTCCCCTGAGGCCCCGACCCGTTTTACAGAGAAGGCTACTAAGAAGCCAATTCCGGAGAGGGGCATTGACATCAAAAAGGTCAAGGAACGATGCCCCCACATGTATAATGAGTTGATGGAGCGGGGTTTGCAGGCCTTCATTGACGAGCCAGGGGAGGCTAATGTAATGGTTGTACACGAATTCTATGCTAATCTACCAGAGCATGTCAACCATGTGGTCACGGTGCGCCGCAAGGCGGTGGATGCCTCCATTAAGGCGATACGCATAGCATATCAATTGCCCGACCCTCTGCCTAGGAATACTGACTTTTATGAATATGGGTGAAATCCAACCGATGCCAAGTGGGAGCGCTTCTTTGATGAAATTTGCGTACCAGGAAAAATGGTAGAGTGGCTGGAACATGGAGAGAAGTTCCACTCCTCCGTCTTAACTCCAGAGGCGAAGAGCTGGTTGTATGTGATTAACAGTCGCCTTATTCCCTCCAAAAATACTACGGAGGTGAATGGACCCTGAGCTGCAATGATTTGGTGTTTCATCAAGGGTCTTCCCTCCGACATGGCCAAAGTGATCCACGACGAGATGTTTATCTGGTGCCCCCAACGCCTGTATGGGTTCTTTTTCCCATCTTTGGTGACTAAGCTTTGCAGGAAAGTGTAGGTGCCTGAAAATACTCGTGTGGACGGGCTGGTAAGAAGACAAGAACACCACGGGGGCAGCCCCAGCAGCAGCGGCAGGCGGAGAGGATGAGAGTGGTTCTGATGCATCAGAGGAGGAAGAGGATGAGCAAATGGATGTGGAGGGCGAAGCGCAAGCCCATGCGCCCAGCGCAACAGCTGCAGCACTGTCATGAGCAGCCTCCTCTTCAGGAACTACCAGAGTGTCCCGGCACACCACATTGGAGAAGGAGGTGGCTGATCTACGCACCTCTATGACTGATTTGGGCACTCGTGTGGACGCGATAGCTGACCGACAAGTCAAGTCGGAAAAGAAGTTCATGGGTTGGCTGCGAGCTTTGGGGCGTGCGTGCAACGTGAACCCCGAAACCATTTCCGATCAAGAGTAAAGCTTCAGGGAAGTCTCTTTACCTCACTGCTCTTTTAAATTTTAAGCCATGGGGACATGTCTTCTTTTTTAAGTGTGGGGTGGGGGATTCCTTCATTGTATGTTATATGTAGTTGTACAAATTGCTGGGTTATTTTGTTTGTTTCATGTTGACTTGATAGTTTTTGTTAAGCAGGATTAGTTTTTTTTGTTAATTTAGATAAATGGCTCGGCCCGACGATGGATCCTTTTGCGACGGGGTTCTTGAGGGACTGAGTCGAGAAAAAAAAACTAAAAAGATTGTAGGCTCTTCCTGATGACGGATCTTTTAGACGATTTTCTTGAGGGAAGTGAGTCTAGAGAAAACAACAAAAAGTTTTTTTATTTTTTTCTTAGGTAGTGTAGCAATTCCCCCTTGGTTTTTCTTTAAGCCGCAGTTCTTTTCCAAGGGTTTATCTTGAACCGGGCATAGGTAGTTTGTATTGTTGTTTTCTTTTTGATTTGTAGATTAGGGTAATGGGCTACGAGCTATAAAATTGAAAGAGAACCCATATCGTTGACACACCTGAACACAATAGACCTTAGAGTGTAACGCTTAGTCCTAATTGTTGAATCTCACTGAAAGTGCCTTAATTTGTATGTTTGTTACTGAATTGAATGCTCGTAATAGAGTGTCTTAATGAGCTGATCTGAATGAGTCATATACCATATGTGGTGAGTATTTGTGTAGTCCATGTATTGTACTTGTGTCTAGAACTTGCCCGGTATGTGAGTTGAAGCGAAATTTTAGGTGATGCTCGGTTTGAAAAAATGATGTTAGGCTTTCTTTGACCTTTTTGAGCTTAATTGCTTATCACAAATAAAATTTGTCCCTAGTTAACCCTTTTCAGTCTTTAGACTTTTGTTTGGCACCCGCATTACAAGCCTATAGCCTTTTGTTCTTAATTGACATTGTTTTGATCCTTTTACCTTTTAAAGCACTTTAATTGTGACAGGAGCGCTAAAAGAAGTAAAAAGGAAATAAGTATGGGGTGACTTTTGAGTGGAACCAATAATAGGATGAAAGGTGCACTTATGTTGTAAAAGAATGCACCACTAGCAGAAATTGAGTGACAAGAAGAATAAACTTTATAAAAAAAAAAGAGATGATTATATTGTGTCTTGTTCCAGCTAGTGAGAATGAATTAATAGAGTGCTTAAAGAAGAAGGGAGTATTTATGGGATGATATTGTGTATGAATGAGAAGTGGGTTGAAGAATGTGCGCTAAAAATTGCTCATGTGATGTGTTAAAGTGCTTAGGGGTTGAGTCAATATTCCTAAATACATCCTACCCGTCCCTTATCCCACATTACAACCATGAAAAAGTCCTAATTGATTTTGGATCGAGCTAGCTTACATTAGTAGAGATTTACATTAAGGGCAAACTTATGGTACCAATTGCATGCATGTGACCTCTTTTGTGAGAGTGAGTGATTTCCTTGATATATGTGAGTATATGAATTGAATGTTGTGGATTGAACTTAGTTTTTGTTGATGTAATTGTGAGGGCATATGGTTCATGACGGAAAAGTAAGTCTTGACTTCTGTGTAGAGTACTTTGAGGAAGTGTGAATATTGCATGACACTTGAGAATCGACTTTGAAGCTAGGATTGTTCACTGCTAGGAGTAATACACGTACATTGTTCTAGGTGTAATACGTTAAGGGAAATGGTTGAGTGAAAGATTCTCTAGAGAGTATAGTTGATTGCTCGAGGACTAGCAATGAATTAAGTGTGGGGTGTTGATAATAGGCGAAATCTAGGTGATTTAGCTATTGTTTATGCTTTCGCTTGATTATATTCCAATGACATATTATGGTTAATTGATGAAAAATATGCTCTAATTGTGATATGTATACATTGCAGGATGAGGAGCCTATATGGTGCTCTCAAGAGGATATTGGAATAATTTATGAACAAGAACAACCCCTCGGAGTTGAGTGCGTGCAAGGACGAGACGAAAAATGGACGAAATCAAGCTCCAGGTGCGCGAAGAAACGCGCGAAGCCGCGCAGGAGTTCGCACGTAAGAAAGGCCGAGGCAGAATCATGCGCGAAGTTATGCGCGAGCTAGCGCGTGTCCGATCCGGAAAACGTTATTTAGGGGTAAAATTGGAAATCTAGAGAGAAACCCACTTAACCTATATAAAGTCAATCTCGCCCAAGGTTTAAAAAAAGGTTTTCATAGTTTAGTGCAAGAAATAGAGAGGCAAGAGGCAAGGAGGAGTTTTGACCATCAAGTTCTTCTTTTCTTCTCTTGTTTTTGCTATTTTGTGATGAATACTAGTATGAGTGGCTAAGACCCATTGTTCTAGGGTCATGGGTAAAACATGAATGTTGTTGTTTGAAGTTTAATTCGACAAAGTCGATTTATCATATTGGGTTGTTTATTTAATTCTGTTCTTAATTATTTTGTTGAGTAGCTAACAGTGAAATACTATCTACGAATCTTTAGTTGAACTCTAAAGTGGGAACTTTAGATTGCATATAGAGTTAAATAGAGCAAGTTCTTGAACACGGGCCTCGGGGAACGGATTCGCAATTGGGATAGACATATACCCAATTGCCTTGCTTGGTTGAAATACAGGAATTGTAAATGTGTTCTTGTTAATCTTAATTCCATAGACATATAGGCATTGAGTTGACTTGAATAGGCGAGTAAGAACTCGACAGATTCTTATGAGTAATATCAACTCTATCAATCAATAACCCTGATAAATTGATTAGTCATTTTAAGCCAA